TTTCCTCTACCTGATGATGATTGCTTGTGTTGCAATCGAAACGTCGTATATTATGTAATTTTATTTTTTCTTATTTCTACGTGACTTTACCGAAAAAAACAAAGATTAATTCCTGCAGTCACGAAAGCATCAAATCTATATTCTTAGCTCTTTCGGTAAAGTCACGTTGAAGGGAAACAATAAAATAATAAAATATACAAAACAATAAAAAAATTCTCACGACGTTTCGACCATAACACAAACGGTCATCATCAGGTGTGAAAAACCAACGGCAAAACACATTAGAAAGAAGTGGCGGTCCTCATTTATTTATTTATTTTAAACGGTGTTTTCATTTATTTAAAAAACGTTAGCACCACGGGCAGCAATTTGGCAGTTTGTTTAGAAGGACTAGTCCATCTTTGTTCTGAAAAGAGGAGGGGGGAGACGAAAAATTAATGTATGCTGTCTGAAAGCCACCGTAAGCGTTAGTCTAATCATTGATATGCAGATACTGTACATCTACAGTGACCATAAATGAAGGGACCGATTGATGGTTGTGCAGCCTCTATTAGAACGGTTGGCTACGTACGGTGCAAAAGAAGTTCAACATACATTTATTTTACTTAGTGCCAATGCCTCTTCCCTTCGGACTTCACCGATGCGTGTTTATTGAAAAGCTTTGGCTCTGCATTTCCCGCACAAAGGCTTGTTGAATTTCCACGGGGTTTACGGGCACTCTTCAACAAACTGCGTCAGGGGAAGGGGAGGCAGTGTCGTATAATATTCCGTACTGCTGTGTTTACCTTTAATTCACTGTAAAGCTCGATCTGACCGTTAGGCATCTATTTGCAGCCTACATCGCCCAACAAGATTCCTAAGGGCTTTTTCAACCTCCATCTGCTCTTACAGTTTGCCCACCGCATGGCTTCAGGTCACTGACCTTTGTGTTGCTACTCAAATAGCGTGCCCTGTGGTAGCCTGCTCCCTTGCATCCAGCACACATGTGCCACCCATCAACAGCCGCCTTTTTCCTGATTACATCTGCAGGCCAGAAGCATATTTTCCACTTGTTTTGCAGTTACATGTTAAACAGATAGCGTACCCACTAGCGTATAATATCCTGAGAGCGAATGCATATTTGAGCTGCTGTATATTGTGTGTATTTCAGAGTTTTTGATAATTATATTTGTTCCATCATAAATTTTGATTTAAAGCTTTCGTGACTGCAGTAATTCATATTCTTAGTTTTTTCGGTAAAGTCACGTTGAAGGGAAACAACAAAATAATAAAATATATATCCATCATAATTGTGAGGATTTTTTTTGGCCCAGTGTCAGATTATCTTTTCTTTTTAAAAGTTTACATTTATCAAAGTTGTATGACTAACATTCATTTATTTATTTGTGTATTTATTTATTAAGCCGAATCACCAGAATGATGTCAAATATTCATCTTTGCATTTAAATTTAGAACGTAATACCCATTAGTAAAACAGCAATTTAACAGCATTTTTTTTATTTTAGTAATGTAAGCGCGAGTGACGTCGCATATTATACAAATTACATAATGTGAAGGCACCTTTTGGCCAGGTATGCACAACAGTGGTACCTTTGAAGTGACATCATTACCCGTTACCTCACATTTTCAGATAAATACGAAGCAATTTTTTTTATGGGTCCTCTAAAATGTCATGTCCAGGCCTGATCTTTGGATTTTTCTCAGTTTAATTTGAAAATCGTGAATGGATCCCTATTTGTGTATACGTATGTGTGTGTTTTTGCTAAGTAACTGATAGTAAGCAGCCTTTGTCCACTTCAGTCGGCTTGAGTGTGACACTTCAAAAAAGTACTGTACCTATAAAGCTGTCATATATGGAATCGGCAGCTATAAACCACAAAATACACATTTTCATCGACCTGGGTTCTAAAAGAGCAATGTCTTAGTTTCTTGTTCTAAAAATTACTTGGGGCCCAAATGTGAACATTTTGGGTTTAAGATTTTTAAATCGAATTTTTATTTGGATTCAGTACCCTTCAAAACCTCCATGTGAACACATTGAGAATCCTTAAACATATATTAACTTTTGCATGTCAAGAATAAAATCCCGTCAAGGTTTTTCCCCCTAGAATTTACAGTTTATGATTTTGTTTTAGCAAGCATGGGCTCGACTCCACTTTACTGTACTTCGTATGTGCCAAATGTTAATATTCCCTTCTCGAACATCACTACAAGTATATCAATAGTCCCTGGTCAAAGTATGTGTATTATTATTGTACGTGTGAATGAATACCGCGGGAGTGAGCAATTGAGTCATACTTTGGCAATGCCAGGCTTAAACTAAACAAAAAAGTAAAAATATCACACATTTGATTTGTTTCCCGTGGATATGGAGGTGGTGGGTGGGGGTGGAAGTACAATTTAGATGTTGCGGGTTATATATTTTATATATTTTAAAATAAAATTTAGCATACACTTGTACCAATTGCCAAACGTGGTTGTTGGCAAGAACAACATAGTTTTAAACACCAGCCTGGGCAGGAGAGCCACACTCGGTAGGGTTTTTTTTTTGTGTGGAGGGCGGGTTAGATCGCATAAATATAAATGCGTCCCAAAAAATGCATTAGAGATGATATTGGTCGCGAAAGCGTACGTGTTCAACTCACTGGGTAGGTGGGTCGGTCGGTGGGTGGGTCTCGTGGGTGGATCGGGTGGGTGAGTCGGTGGGTCTGGTGGATGGGTCGGTCTGGTGGGTGGGTCGGTGGGTGGTTGGCTCTGGTGGGTGGATCGGTGGGTGGGTCTATGGGTGGGTGGCTCTGGTGGATGGCTTTGGTGGGTGGGTCGGTGGGTCTGGTGGGTGGGAGGATCTGGTGGGTGGATCTGGTGGGTGGCTCTGGTGGGTGGGTGGCTCTGGTGGGTGGGTGGATCTGGTGGGTGGGTCGGTGGGTCTGGTGGGTGGGTCGGTCTGTTGGGTGGGTGGCTCTGGTGGGTGGATCTGGTGGGTGGATTGGTGGGTGGGTCGATGGGTAGGTGGCTCTGGTGGGTGGATCTGGTGGGTGGGTCGGCTGGTCTGGTGGGTGGGTTCGTCTGGTGGGTGGGTGGCTCTGGTGGGTGGCTCTGGTGGGTGGATCGGTGGGTGGGTCGGTGGGTGGGTCGGTGGGTGGGTCGGTGGGTGGTTGGGCTGAACGATTAATCGATTTCAAATCAAAATCGTAATTTGAAACTGCGATTAGAAAATTGCAAAGGCTACGATTTTTTTGCGATTTGAAAAGTCCTATTACTTTCTTATTGGAATTGTTTAATTATTATTATAACTTTATTTCTTTAACTTAACAATTGTTGTATGTTTGATTGTTCTATTTCAATGAAGCATTTTAATAAATACATGTTGGAAGCAATTTGTATCTTTTAAATTCTCATCCTTGCATTAGAATATATAGTGCAGTTCATATTTTGATGGTACAATGTGGTAATGCTCCATCACATGTTTTAAATCTATTACACAGTGAATATTGAACTGAATCTTGACTTTAAAAATGTTAATCGCACATCAAATCGCAAAATCTGTCAGAAAAATCGCAATTAGATATTTTCCCCAAATCGTTCAGCCCGAGTGGGTGGGTGGCTCTGGTGGGCGAATGGGTGGGTCTGATGGGTGAGTCTGGTGGGTGGGTCGGTGGGTCTGGTGGGTGAGTGGGTGGGTCTGGTGGGTGAGTGGGTCTGGTGGGTGAGTGGGTGGGTCTAGTGGGTGAGTGGGTGCGTCTGGTGGGTGGGTCTGATGGGTGAGTGGGTGGGTCTGGTGGGTGGGTCTGGTGGGTGAGTGGGTCTGGTGGGTGAGTGGGTGGGTCTAGTGGGTGAGTGGGTGCGTCTGGTGGGTGGGTCTGATGGGTGAGTGGGTGGGTCGGTGGGTCTGGTGGGTGAGTGGGTCTGGTGGGTGAGCGGGTGGCTCTGATGGGTGAGTGGGTCTGGTGGGTGAGTGGGTCTGGTGGGTGAGTGGGTCTGGTGAGTGAGTGGGTCTGGTGGGTGAGTGGGTGGATCTGGTGGGTGGGTCTGGTGGGTGAGTGGGTGGGTCTAGTGGTTGAGTGGGTGGGTCTAGTGGGTGAGTGGGTGGATCTGGTGGGTGGGTCTGGTGGGTGAGTGGGTCTGGTGGGTGAGTGGGTGGGTCTAGTGGGTGAGTGGGTGCGTCTGGTGGGTGGGTCTGATGGGTGAGCGGATGGGTCTGGTGGGTGGGTCGGTGGGTTTGGTGGGTGAGTGGGTCTGGTGGATGAGTGGGTCTGGTGGGTGAGTGGATCTGGTGGGTGAGCGGGTGGCTCTGATGGGTGAGTGGGTCGGGTGGGTGAGTGGGTCTGGTGGGTGAGTGGGTCTGGTCGGTGAGTGGGTCTGGTGGGTGAGTGGGTTTGGTGGGTGAGTGGGTGGGTCTAGTGGGTGAGTGGGTGCGTCTGGTGGGTGGGTCTGATGGGTGAGTGGGTGGGTCTGGTGGGTGGGTCGGTGGGTCTGGTGGGTGAGTGGGTCTGGTGGGTGAGTGGGAGCCTCTGATAGGTGAGTGGATCTGGTGGGTGAGTGGGTCTGGTGGGTGAGTGGGTCTGGTGGGTGAGTGGGTCTGGTGGGTGAGTGGGTCTGGTGGGTGAGTGGGTCTGGTGGGTGAGTGTGTCTGGTGGGTGAGTGGGTGGCTCTGATAGGTGAGTGGGTCTGGTGGGTGAGTGGGTCTGGTGGGTGAGTGGGTCTGGTGGGTGAGTGGGTCTGGTGGGTGAGTGGGTCTGGTGGGTGAGTGGGTCTGGTGGGTGAGTGGGTCTGGTGGGTGAGTGGGTCTGGTGGGTGAGTGGGTGGGTCTGGTGGGTGAGTGGGTGGGTCTGGTGGGTGAGTGGGTGGATCTGGTGGGTGAGTGGGTGGATCTGGTGGGTGGGTCTGGTGGGTGAGTGGGTGGGTCTAGTGGGTGAGTGGGTGGGCCTAGTGGGTGAGTGGGTGGATCTAGTGGGTGGGTCTGGTGGGTGGGTCGAGCCATGCTGAGTGAGTGGTGGGCGGTGGGGGGAAGGAATTGCAGGGGCTCAGCGGGGCGGTTCCCGCTTGGCACGTCTCCTCCTCCTCCTCTCCGTGCGGCTCCATTCGCGTGGCTCTCGTCTGAGCCCTCCGTCACAAGGTTCGAGCGGGACGGATCGTGCGGCTTGTGCCTGCGACAAGTCTCTCTCTCTCTCTCCGTGCGGGTCGCCTGCTTAGTTCAGCTCTCACCCAGCCCTCTGTGAAATCGGCTCTCGCAGACGTGGCAGAGGCAAGACGTCGGGACGCCTTTGTGTTTTGGTTTCGCCGGCAGATTACATCGGGTGAGATACGGCTCGCTCGCGCAAACGTTCACGCCTGGACAATGCAAGATCAGCTGTAGTGTGCGGTGCGCTGTGCGTGAGTGTGTGTAATCGCAGCGGTCTTACACACACGGATAGCTCGTCCTGTTCAAGGTTAAACACTGCAGGTAAGCGCCTTTTTCTAATTTTGCCGTGTGTGTTAACGTTGCCTATACGTATAGACTGTTCACCATTGTGTGTGTGTGTGTTGTGTGTACAGACTGTATATGTAGCGTGTGTATTTTGGACGGGTTGTGAATACGCTAGACAGTTGCTGTGCGCGGAACGCTCTTAAGAACAATCATTGCAAGCAGCAGCATCAGCAGCAGCTGCAGCAGTTAGCAACCCGAGCAGTATTTATCATCATCATCGTCTTCTTCAACAGCAGCAGTAGCAGCAAAGAAAATCGTCAACAGCAGCGGCAGGACAAATCGATCATCGTCTTCGGCAGCAAAAGAACATCAGCAGCAACTAGGACACAACGCTTCAATAAAGCGCCCCTTGTAAATTAACAAGCCGATCTGTCGAACCGGTGTGAGGCCACATTGCCGAGATATAAACACGAAACGTTGGTGGCCAACGTTGGTTGGACGTCGGTGGCCAACGTTGGTTGAACGTTGGGCGGCCAACGTTGGTTGAACGTGGGGGGCCAACGTTGGTTGAACGTTGGAGGGCCAACGTTGGTTGAACGTCGTTGGTTGAACGTTGGTGGGGCAACGTTGGTTGGACGTAGGGGGACAACGTTGGTTGAACGTCGGTGGCCAACGTTGGTTGAACGTTGGGGGGCCAACGTTGGTTGAACGTGGGGGGCCAACGTTGGTTGAACGTCGGTGGCCAACGTTGGTTGAACGTCGGTGGCCAACGTTGGTTGAACGTGGGGGGCCAACGTTGGTTGAACGTCGGTGGCCAACGTTGGTTGAACGTTGGGGGGCCAACGTTGGTTGAACGGTGGCCAACGTTGGTGGCGAACGTTAGTTGAACGTTGGGGGGCCAACGTTGGTTGAACGTCGGTGGCCAACGTTGGTGGCGAACGTCGGTGGCCAACGTTGGTTGAACGTTGGCGGCCAACGTTGCCAATGTTCACGGAGATATAAGCGCCACGCGAATGACAACACACCGCATGAGTTACACACCTCGCACACAACAGACACGCACAGAGAGGAGAGCCTGCCGTGTTGGAGACTTTACACATCTGACGGGCCTGAACAGCGCCGTTCTGTGTTACACCGCCGTTCTGTGTTACACCGCCGTTCTGTGTTACACCGCCGTTCTGTGTTACACCGCCGTTCTGTGTTACACCGCCGTTCTGTGTTACACCGCCGTTCTGTGTTACACCGCCGTTCTGTGTTACATCGCCGTTCTGTGTTACACCGCCGTTCTGTGTTACATCGCCGTTCTGTGTTACACCGCCGAAACGACTCCGCGAGTTGAATAGCGAGCGCGCACACCACCGACACACGGCGCGCGTACAAAACACGGGCTCGTGAAGTTGTACGCTGTGCACAGCGTACAAGCTGTGCACAGCGTACAACACTGCCGTGTTTGTTTACACGCTGCATCACGCAGCCCCGGTGCGCGTGTGTGGTGTGTGTGTGCGTACACACTAACTCGTGTTGCGTGTACAATAGTACAGCGAAGTACAATAACACAGTAGCGCTCCTGCATAGCCTGCGCGTGGACACCAGAGACCCCTTCCGCAAGCCGCTGAAAAGTCATTCAGAATATGATTAAAAAAAAAAATTCATACCGGAGGAATCCGATGAGCTATAAAGCGCTCACTCACTCTCTCACTGATTTCCAGTAGGGGCGGGTCACGAAGTTACAACGATTATTCAGTGCGTGTACGTGTGTGTCAGACGTCTCAGAATAATGTTGTAACAGCGCGCAGGGCTGTATTCATCACTGGGTGGAACTTCGCGATATTTACCCATTGAATGTGCCTGACCTTGCCAACACGTCTCGCTTAGCTAAGCAGGGGTTGAGCCGGGATAGTGCTCGGATGGGCGACCCACACAGTGCCTCGCTGACTGCTCCCGCCTCTAGAGGGCAGTGCATCGAAGTCCATTGTTGTATTGTACGGTCCTATGTTACTTACGTCTTATGATCTCCCCGCCGTCGAATCGCACTGGCCGGCTTGGTGAAGTATGGTCACGGCACACGCCACGATGGGGAAGCTGTCATCCAGCAGTAGACAGAGCAAAGGTGTGCACGCGATACCGTAACATAGCCTAATACACAGCAGTGCAATCTCAATTTTAAATGATATGCACAAAGTGTCAACGCAGCTTAGTGGCCCTCGCACGTGCCGAGCAGCGCGTATAACGCCGCGTGTGGCAAGCCGATCGGGAGATTTGGGTGCGGCAATTCGGGCATCCATCTGTGCGGATCCGTTGAGTGCTGTTGCTAATGCGGTGGGCTTGCCTCCGGATGCTCTTCGTCGTTTCCTCAGGCTTGTCGCGAACGCTCGTCTGCGGGAATTTGGCCAAACGTCGTCCCCGTTTTCGTATTGCAGGAACGCTCCTCAATAGGCGTCGTCTTTTCCCGCAATTTTTGAAACTCTGTAACGTCGTCCGGTGATCGAAACACCCAATGAAGTTTTCTTACCGTGGATGGGATGGTCTGATAAAATTGACAATTTCTTGGGTCCTCTATGATTTTCTGAGCAATTTATATTCGTGTGCGTGTGTGTGTTTTAATGAGATGATACAGGGGTCTCTCTCCCTCCTTTGCAGAGTGATTAATTAATGAGACATAATTCCCACGATTGAGGTTGGTTTTTTTTCTGCGTGAAACATTTCGGAAATAGATCTGCCAAGTTTGAACCAACAGCTGGTCTCACTATTTCGATCAAGTCCACAGTTACTCCATCTAAACTACACATTAAAGAAATATATATTTTTACAAGGGTAAGGCCCACTGAGCTGTATGTAGCTCTTTTTCAGAAGTGACCTTGGCACAAATGACAGCTCAACGAAGTGGCTTATCAAGTGGAAATTTATAGCAGCCAAATACTCTAAAAGGCGCGATGTTGATTCTAAATGTGGAGGGAAAACCCGGAGGAGCCGGAGAAAAATCCACGCCAACACGGGGAGAGAAACATGCAAACTCAAAATATACAGACGTCGGGGTCGGAATCGAACCCACAACTTCCTGTGTACCAGGCGAGGTAGTTAACATTTCTTAGCCACCGTGGCGCTCATCTCGTCTGGGAGATCCCCATCTTTTTTTATAACTGCAAAGGGTGGTGGTGGTGGTGGTTATAGCTTCAGGTGTGACATCTGGAACTTCCTTTTCAAACTCAGCTTTTTTGTTTCCTGCGTTATATATGATTTCTAATGCTATAAATGTAAGCATATAGTTCCCCCCTCTCCGAGTGTTATTATTCTGCTTCCCATAATGCATCATGGTCCCGTCTACTATTCGCGGTCGACCAATTGCACCGTTTGTGCCCCCATATAGCTTGTCACGATATCTTACATCATATTTTTGTGTGATTAATATCCCCATAATGGGTTTACAATTCCGAGTAAATTGGTGTTTAGTGTGCTGTTTTATAGAATTTTGTAACCCTTTTAATCTCCCTTCGTTTTTTTCTTCGTGTGTTTTGTGGTTTCGGGTAACTTTGTCCTCTTTCCAAAACGTTTCCCACCCCTACTTTCGGTGTACTGTTAACGAAAATGTCAGTGCTGTTTATCTGTCATTCAACGTGGTGTGACATCCATCCAATCGTTTTGCATCTCTCGGAAATTTGAACGGGTTGCCTGAGGACCTGTCAGAATTCCATTCACTCTCAGAGTGAATTACATCGTTGATGTAAAATTGCCCTGTTCTTACCTGTAATAAGCTCTGCCCTCTCTTTGATGACGCTTGAAGTGCCACTTGCATCTCGCCAACCTGTTATCACTTCTTTTGTTAAATGTTGCTGTGCTCAGGAATCTCCGATCATCTGGGCGTTGTCCACGAATGTCAATGGAATTTAGCTTCAAATTCCTGGATTTGTCATTCTCCACTTCCATTTTATAGACTTTTTCAGGTCTACAACACATTCCTGCGGAGGGAGCTGGTAGGAACGTTGGGTTGCTCGGTCAATGGCCAGGGTCAACGGCGGCGTGGTGTATTCCGCAAATATGCCCGACTGAGGGCGAGCACAGGCCGGCGTGAGTAGGTTAAACGTTGAGTTTTATAAGGGTACCACGGGGTGACCAGCCCCTCCCCACCCAGCCTCTCCCCTCCCACCCCCTCCCCTCCCACCCCCCACCCAGCCCCACCCTCCCCACCCAGCCCCACCCTCCCCACCCTCCCCTCACCACCCAGCCCCACCCCTCACATTTTTGTATGCACGACGGACGGACGGACACAATAATCCCCTGTGGGCTGGTGTAATAACCAGGAGGTTCCTACCAGTAAAATGTTCTTGCTGCCTGTCGATTCTAATGTCCTCGTCTCCTGCTCCTCATGTAGACGGACACAAATTGACACGGAGTGAGCCGAGTGAAACGGAGATGAAATCGTATTCGCATGCGAATTAGCTTGCTATGTTTATGAGCTTGTTATGTTTAGCCTTGCACAAGCGCCGTGGTGACGTCACCGCCACTTAGTGGCGAATGGCGGTTGTTGTTATGAGGATTTTACATTTCAAGCTGATATTGGATGCGCTCTGACAAGTCTCTAATCTGGGGGGGGGCGGGGACCTTGAGCTCTTAAGAGCCGCATGGCTCACAGGGCTATACCTAATAAATGAAACTTGAAACTCTTTGGGGCCCCCTAGCCTTTGCTTCGTTTCGCTTGCTCCTAGCACGGCCGCCTCTGCTTACCGATAACCCCCCTCTGAGCCCAGGGTTCCTCTTCTCGTCTCCAGGGACGATGGGACGTCGGTCACCGGTGCCCGAGTCATCCCAGCCACACTAGCCGGTGGGTGGGGAGAGACCATGATGTAGCCGGAGCCCCTTTGCCCCCACCATGCGGGAATACAAGGTGGTGGTGCTGGGCAGCGGCGGGGTCGGCAAGTCGGCGCTCACGGTGCGATTCGTGACGGGCAGCTTCCCCGAGCGCTATGACCCGACCATCGAGGACTTCTACCGCAAGGAGATTGAGGTGGACTCGTCGCCCTCCGTGCTGGAGATTCTGGACACGGCCGGCACGGAGCAGTTCGCGTCCATGCGCGACCTCTACATCAAGAACGGCCAGGGCTTCATCCTCGTCTACAGCCTCCTCAACCACCAGTCCTTCCAGGTGAGTCACAACAAGCGCGTGCATGATTGCGTGTGTCCTTGCGTGTGTGTGTGTGCGTGCATGATTGCGTGTGTGCGTGCGTCCGTGTGTGTGCGTGCGGTAGTGCAGCAGTTCGCGCGCCGCGGTACGAACCCGGCGACCCGAGTTCGGTTCCCGTTTTGCGGCCAATAAACACCGGTGGCGATTATCTGAACCAGTCCTCGGTCTCCCCTAGGTCGGCTCGGCCTCACATTGAGTACCTGGTGCGGTGTGTAAACACCACACCAGGTACTCACTCATCCACTCACTCCACTCACTCACTCCACTCGCTCCACTCACTCACTCCACTCACTCGCTCCACTCACTCCACTCACTCCACTCACTCGCTCCACTCACTCACTCCACTCACTCCACTCACTCCACTCACTCCACTCACTCACTCCACTCACTCCACTCACTCCACTCACTCACTCACTCCACTCACTCCACTCACTTCACTCACTCCACTCACTCCACTCACTCACTCACTCCACTCACTCACTCACTCCACTCACTCACTCCACTCACTCACTCACTCACTCCACTCACTCACTCCACTCACTCACTCACTCCACTCACTCACTCCACTCACTCACTCCACTCACTCACTCCACTCACTCACTCCACTCACTCACTCCACTCACTCCACTCACTCACTCCACTCACTCACTCTACTCCCCCCCCCCCCGCTGCTGGTCCATCATGGACCCCACCCGCTCCTGGTCCATCATGGCCCTTGCACCTCCTACCTACATCATGCTCATTTTTATGCTAATTCCTTTGTCAAAGCGTTTTGCTTCCTCCCACACAGCTTAAAGGACGCGACCTGGGCTTGGCTGTTTTCACTCCAACGCTGTCCTCATGACAGCACGGTCCCTTCACCTGATGAAGGCCGCTTGTGTTGTGGCCGAAACGTCGTGATTTTTGTTATTTTATTTTTTACCTACGTGACTTTACCGAATAGAACCAAAGAGTGTGTAAACATCTCAACTCGGGAAACAAAGGCGGCCGGGTGTAGTGTTGACCACCCACACTCTAGTGTGCCGTTCCGGCCTTCATAGGTGTTCGCTCGCAGCACTTGCCCCAAAAGTCTGTTAAGGCTTATGGGGGATCTTTGTTTTGATTTAAAGCTTTCATGACTGCAGGGATTCATATTCTTGGTTCTTTCGGTAAAGTCACGTATCAAGGGAAACAATAAAATAATAAAAATATAAAACAGTAAAATTCTCACGACGTTTCGACTGCAACACAAGCAATCATCATCAGGTGTGAAAACCACAGCAAGAAAATTTGAAGAAAAGTGTTTTCTTGCTGTGGTTTTCACACCTGATGATGATTGCTTGTGTTGCAGTCGAAACGTCGTGAGAATTTTATTGTTTTGTTCCCCTTCTACGTGACTTTACCGAAAGAACCAAGAATATTTGGGGGTCTTTGTCTTTGTATGTATGCGGTAGTGGAGTGGTTAGCGCACTGCGCTACAAACCAGCAACTCGAGTTCGATTCCCCCTCACGGCCAACACCGGTGACGATTATCTGAACCGGTCCTGGGCCTCCCCTAGGTCGATTCAGCCTCAAATTATTACATGGTGCCGTGTGTAAACATCGCCACTGGGGAGACAAAGGCGTCCGGGCGTGGTGTTGGCCATCAACCTCCCCGTGTTCTGTGGCAGCCTTCATAGGTGCTAGCTAACAGCACTTGACCCAACAGCCTATTACAGGCTATACTGGAATTCTTTGTCTTTTGCTAACACAGTGGGGAGCACAGGTGGCGGCATCTACTCGTCATCTCATTAATTTGACCCGTAACACTTGGCTATGTCCCCCGTGACATCCTGCCAGCAAGCCTGTGGCACTTGGCCTCAAAATGTACCTAGCCTGGGACAAGCGGTGTGACGACGTCACCGCCACTTAGTGATGAGTCGCGGCTGTTGTTGTCGTTGCCGTGTCTGTGTGGGTATATGTGTTTGTGGTGAGCGTTAGTACGATTCCGGGCCACGGCCGACGTCGGTGATGAGAACTTGTCCCGGGCCCTCCTAGGTTGAATCGACCTAAACTGAGTGAGTGGGGTGGCTGTGTGAAATGTCAGCACTGGGGAGATAGAGTGGCCATACGTGGTGCTTTCCACATCACCACCCCCACTCACTTGTGCAACGTACTGGCCTTTCATAGGTGCACGCCAACAACACTTTAACCCCAACAGTGGATGTAGGCTAGACGGTAGATGTCCCCCCCCCCCACCCCCCCCTTTGTGAGTGAATGAGAGAGTGTGATTGATTGACGCCCACAACAACAAAGCAGAATTCTGGAGGTTGCTGGGTGGCTCGGAGGTCAGGGCACTGAGCTGACACCGCTGAGATCCTAGGTACAAATCCCGTCAGCCGCCTGTGCTCAAGTGTAGTGAGGAGTTGATGGTCTCAGCTCGTCCACCAATGACTGCACACACACACAAAAACACAAACCGTCGCGTGAAATTTAGTTCGGCACTTAATATGGACAAATTTCAGCTCTGAGAATGAAACATCGGTTTGAGTGTCATGTGACAAACTGAACTCTCGTGTACAGATTTAGGTGGGAAGGAGCTTCCCCCTCCCTACTGTGTGGACCAGAGGCTAACTTTTGAAGAGATCTCAGAGCACTGATGTCCGCTTCCATTGGTCGTTCTCTCATATGAAGGGTTTCTCTGTGATGTGACACATCTCAGATTATCACGGTACGGTGCGAAAGAATTCTAGATTTGAAGTTTTCGTCACTGCAAGGATCCATACTCTTTGTTTTTTTTTCGGTCAAGTCACGTAGGTAAAAGACTAAATAAAATAAATTAAAATGAAAACAACTAAATTAAAACTAGATTAAATTTAGTTGTTTTCATTTTAAATGCTTTTTTTTTACCTGCGTGACTTTACCGAAAAAAACAAAGAGTATGGTGCGAAAGAAGTTCAACAGACATACATACAAATCCAATTGCATGCTGGTAAACCGAGCAGAGTGTTGAATAGATAAAACACAGCGAGCAGGCATGGTTTTTGAAGTGCATTGTTGTGCATTTGCCAGTCCTCTCTAGACAATTAACACGTAGCATCTGGCTCTGTCCCATGTCCTGCCAGTGAGTTTTCACCACATCACGTGGCCTCACAGCGCACCTAGCCAGGCATAAGCACCACGGCGATATTGGCGACGCGTGCTGGCGAATGGCGGTCATTGTGATTGAGTTTGTGCAAGTGGTTTGTGCTTTGCGGCAAAACTCCCAGTGACGTGGGTTCGATTCTTGGCCATGCACCCATCGGTGGTCGGTGGTATTCTGTAACGTCTCCCCTTGGTGGAATTTAAGAAACGTGAACCATTGTCTCAATTACCGTACAGATGGAGATGGAATATAATCGGCGACGTCTGGATTGCAAGGCCAGTGTGCTAATCATTGCACCACGATACCATCCCGTTGACAGAACGGTATTTATATGAGTATACCGGTTAGCACGGTTGGCTACGCACGGTGCGAAAAAAGTTCAACATGCGTACGTTCATGCAGTATTTATATTTTTTGTTGACTGTTAAATAGGCAGAGACGATGAGTCAAAATCCCTCGGCTACATTGTAAACCGTGATGTGAAGCCACAGTTCATTTTCCTTTTTGTAAGCCCTTCAAATAGGATGTCGAACCATCGGGCCCATGACGGCAACGTGACTGAGACCATGAAATAACGGAGAGGTCTGTTCCTGGGGGATCTGTGCAATGTTTACAGCATCCCTTCCTGCAGCACAAACAAGACATTCTATATTTACCCCCCTCACTCGCGCGGCCCTTTGCTGTGACTGTACACGGCTGTGGTTGCACTGACGCGGCCGCGGTGGGTTGTGCACTTCGCAAATCCAGTGAGAGTTTGTATTTCTCGGGCGGGTGGAAAAGGGCACCGGTGCATGAGCGTATTATTATTATTAGCACGATTAGTTTTTACCCAGTCTCTCCCCGTTCGCTTAAAAACACACAATTTTTGCCTCCACGCTCACACGAATTTGGGGGGCACTCCCCTCCATCGGGCGTCTGTTAAGTCAATGTTGGAAATTCCACATTGCCATGGTCGGAGCGTGGCCGCTCGTAGAATTACCGATTTTGACTTTCAAAAAAAAGTGGTACCTTGTTAGGGATATTAATATTTGTAGATATCTTGTCTAGAAAAGGCCCACCTGGTCTCAAGAAACTTTTTTCAAGAGGGTCTTGCTTAGAATTTTTTGTGTTTTGCTGCTCAAAATTTCCACGTTATAAGCCACTTCGTTGAGATGTTAACTCCCTCGCCTGGTATGCAGGAGGTCTCGTGGGTTCGATCCTGACCCTGATGCCTCTATATTTGGAGTTTGTGTGTCCCTCGCTCCTTGTGGTCCTCCGGGTCCTCCGGTTTTTCCCTCCGTTTATAAACATGCATTTAGAGTACAGTATATCAAAGCACTCGTATATCAGTTGTGATCACGTGACGCTCGGCAGACAAAGCGTATACTGTACGTACTACTCGTATTGCAAGACCCTCGCTCGTCTATCAAATGAATATTCATTTACATTTTTTGCTCGTCTTGCAAAACACTCGCAGACCAAGTTACTCGCAATCCAAGGTTTTACTGTACTTGACTAATATTTATTTCCACATTGATGAGCCACGTAGATTTAGTTTTAGAATTCAGTCTATTGCTTCCCCATTCGTGATGTCGACCCCGTACCTTCGACTGTATTCGGTCATGGCCAGGCATTAGACTTCTTGTCTCCTGGATATTTGTGCCATCGCTCTGAATGCTGCATAACAAACATCCCCCCGTTGAGCCTTGCAGACTACGGGGGCCAAGCGCTGTTTGAGGGCACCTACTTAGACTGGCATGGTACATGAAGAGGTGGTGGGACCAACACCACACCCCCAGGCAACCTTTTATTTTCCCAATGTTGACATTTACAACTCTGGGACCCGTTTGCCAGTATAAAGATACTGAATGATAAAAAA